TGCTTTGTCTTTGTGTTATACAAATAAACAGCAACAAGGTGAATATAGAACCCCCTATACGTAGCCGGCCCGTCACTGCAACACAACAAACCCTAAACCCTAAACCCTAAACCCTAAACCGCTAAAGTCAAAAAGATACAACACGCACGCCTTGCATTCTCTCTGGAAACCCCCAGCAACAGCAACATCAACAGCAACAGCAGCACAGCCAGCAACAGCAGCAACGCCAGCAGCAGCAGCAGCAGTATCAGCAGAAGCAGCAGTACCAGCACAACAGCAGCAGCAGAAACAGCAGCGGCAGCAGCAACAGCATCAGCAAGACTGGAGCAGTAGCTTATAGCAGCAGCGCCAGCAGCTCGTGTAACACCAGCAATACAGCAGCACCAGCAGACAGCAGCAGCAGCAGCAGCAGCAGCAGCAGCAACACGGGCATCGGTGTGTGTGTGTGTTTCACCTGCATCTCTGCATTCATGTTTCTTATCGAATTGTGACTGAGCGTTATCTTTCATACGTGCGTATATATTTGTATGAGGGAACCACCGGGCCGCCTCATGCAGCATAGACAGCTGCAGGCTAGCTGAGGCCCCCATGCCCGAGTCCGATGAGCCTTCTGTATCCCAGGCACCTTCATCTGTGCCTCCTCCTCCTTGCCATCCCCCTGTTCCGCTGCCTTCATCCTGTGTTGCTGTTGTTCCTGCTGCTGCAGAGGCAGCAGCAGGCCGCTGCAGCGAGCCCACGCCAGAAGAGGAGCGGTTCGGGTGAGGCTGCGCAGGCTCATCTACAGCAGCAGATGCCCCTCGAGCCAGTCTACCGTCTCCCCCTCTCAAGATAGAACGACGAGCAGCAGAAGGGGCCCCGTCGGCACCTACCTCCACAGACACTGCGCAGCTGTACGGTGGGGCCTGCCGCATACAGCTGGNGGGGCCCCGTCGGCACCTACCTCCACAGACACTGCGCAGCTGTACGGTGGGGCCTGCCGCATACAGCTGGAAGAAACCGCTTCGCTTGGGGGCCCCGCACATCCCTGGGGCCCCCCCATCCCTTGCATGTACGAGGCTGCTGGGGCCCCCTTTCGGGCTCTGAAAACAAGGGGAGGGGATGAGGCCTGTCTGCTCCCAGGCGGACCCGCACCACCCCCCCTCCCCTCCATGCCCACAGCTGCCGCTGCCTTATCTGTTCAGGAGTAAAAACTCTTCTTTGGGTTTAACTCCTTTACTTCAAGTAAAACAGAAAAAAACAAAATCTGAAAAGAAGGGCAAGCCCACAAAAATCTAATATGGCATCGATGTAACAAGGCACAAGCCTGATGGGCGCAGCAGCAGCAGCTCCGATGCCTATAAAGTAATATTACAAAATAGTCAAACCAAAGAAAAGTATTTCAGATGAATGTGTTCAGAATTATTAGAGCTACGGTGTCACTCCACTGGTCCCCCACGGCGGATGAGAAGCCCGGCCACTGCAGTATCGATGCACTTGGTCTGCCCGTCAGGGGCCCTCTCTATCTTCATTTGGTGTTACCTAAATCATTAAAATAATTAATTTTTATTATTTAGCAACAAACACACCGGATAAAAGACAAAACAAGACATGTGTGCAGCAGATAAGCCAACAGGTGGTGGGTCAGCCCAGGAGGGCACTGAGGCTTGAGCAGGCGCAGCCAGGCTGCTGCGTGTTGTTGTTGTGCTGCAGCTGTATTGCTGCTGATCTGTTGCTGTGATGCTACGCAGCTGCTATAAAACAGTTGATATTGCTCTTGTCGCCTCTGTTCTGACCGTCGTATTGCTGGCTTCCTCGCATATAGTGTGCACTGAGCCGCATGATCCGCCTCCCCACACGTACACCCGAACGAGTTCGTCTCCTTAACTGCCACAGCCCCAGGTGAATCGAAAGGCAATGAGAAGGCAAGCTTATATGTACTCAATTTGTGATAGATGCCGCTCTCAGGGCTTGTAGGTAGCTATCGAGGCAGCGCAAGTCTGCCTTGTCACTGTANTTGTGATAGATGCCGCTCTCAGGGCTTGTAGGTAGCTATCGAGGCAGCGCAAGTCTGCCTTGTCACTGTAAGAGCAGCTACGGTGTGCGTGAGAGAGTCACTATGCTGTGTATGTACACCGAAATAGGCCTCTCCTGCACATCCTCTGTTGCCTCACTGCTGTTTTGTTGCTGATCTACCGCTGCCCCGATGCTTGTGGGATCGTACCAGGAGCCGGCCCCGCGTGAGAACACTAGCTCTGCACTCACCGGGGGTTCACCACCCACGTGTATGGCAGCTTGAACTCATACAAAGGCCCTCTCATCGTCTTACCTCTGGTGTAGTCACATCAGTAAGGGGACCAACATATAGGCAGCTTGCCCTGTGCAGTACACCGCCTCTCTAGTAGGATACCAGGGCGTATGGCTTATGTGGTATCGATATATTAATAATAGCAAACACAGTAATAATAATAATAATAATAACAATAATAATAGTAGTAGTTTAAAACTTCCCGAGCATAGAAGTGTATCTTATTGTATACGTTAATATGTACACAAAAGGAGCAGCTACACTCAACAAGATGAATTCATGTGGAGGCATGAATTGTATTTTTCTCAGCGTCTGTGCGGAGTTTATGCAGACCTAAGCTGCACGTACGCCATAGCTGAGTCCCAGCAGTCTATGTGTGTTACATAAGTAATAACATGAAATATAGATAACACAGACGAAGAACAAAATAAAGTAACGGCAACGACTGCGGCGAAGGCAGTGCGTATATGCCCCTTTAGCTGTTCAGTAACTTGCAGCAGGAGCACCAACTGCTGTTCCTGCTGCAACAGCATCACCACTAATAAGCAAACGATGCTGCCACTCCCTATTGGGGTAGTAGCAGACAGACGATCTGTTGCTTTCAAGTTTTGTTGTTCTGGGGGCTGAGGAGCTGCAGTGAAACTATTGTGCAGCCGTGGGGTGTCTTCGGATACACCCTAAGACACCTTGGGGGTGTAGCTCAATTTGGATGCGTTCATCTGCGCGCCGCCGCTCGGACCAGTGGTCGTCCATTGGNCTTGGGGGTGTAGCTCAATTTGGATGCGTTCATCTGCGCGCCGCCGCTCGGACCAGTGGTCGTCCATTGGTCAGTCAATGGTCCTCTCAAGCTCCCCATTCAGATAACACAAAGACGATTTTTTTTGCTGGTGACCTTTGCGTCTCAGTTTTGTCGCGTATGTTGGCATTCGTTCTGCTGCTGTAGCTGCTGTTGCAGCTGCTGCTGCAGCTGGAGTTGCAGCAGCAGCTGCCTCCTGAACTGCTGCGCTTCCTCCGCCAACCGCTGCTGCAACGATATCTGCTCTCCTGCTGCAATGAGATCCTTACGGGGAATAGGGGGCCTTCCTGCAGCACATCCCATAGAGAAGAAACAAAACCAACAAGCAACCAAGTGCAGTGAAAGCATAAACATGCAGCCGTCGTGCATGCGCATGCATAGATAGCCACTTGCAGCACTCACGCTAAAGCTGCTGCATATACACCTCCCACCAGGTGGCCCCTCAGCAGCCTCTCTGGGGCCTCGCTGGGGTTCAGAACAAGATAGTGTGCTCCTCAGGAGACAACGTACCCAGGTGATTCCCTCTGCAGCGTGAACGCCCCGAAGGAGGAGCAGCGTGGGGC